ATTACGAAACGAAACCAGACTGCTATGATCGGTGGCCACTTCGTATACACCATCGAAGCTACGGAACTAATACCACTGACTACATCAACTAGCTCTAGATTCAAGTCATCAGATACTCGGAATACTGAGGAGTCAAGGTTTCTGAGTATCTTAAACGGCCTTGATTTGAATAAGTCTTTCTATTTCAGTTATTCCTATGATATCACGAGGACTTTGCAACATAATATTATGACAGAGCGAGCTGCTCTCGCCGCTGGAAAACCATCCCCTCATCCCAAAGATTACAATTCCATGTTCGTCTGGAACAGTCATCTATTGAGTCCTGCGGAAAACCTTTTGAAGAATACTTATGATTGGTGTGTACCAGTAATTCATGGGTATCTTGCGCAAGCTGCTCTACCAGTATGGGGACGAATAGTCTATATAACAATCATAGCAAGACGCTCCAGATACTTTGCTGGTGCTCGTTTTTTGAAGCGTGGTGCTAATGACATGGTATTGTAAATCAATCTACTTCGAGACATCTACTAATTTTTCCAGGGATATGTCGCAAATGATGTCGAGACTGAACAAATAGTCTCAGAAAACACTACAACCTCATTACATGCTCCCGGGCCAAAGCTCTATGCCAGTCCCAATTACACTTCTTATGTGCAACATCGCGGAAGTATCCCATTACACTGGACTCAAGACAACACCGGTGTAACTCCCAAGCCTCCTATCGAGCTAAATCTGGTAGATCCATTTTACAGTGCAGCTGCGTTGCATTTTGATAACCTCTTCGAAAGATACGGAGCTCCTGTTTATGTATTGAACCTGGTGAAAGCAAAAGAAAGGACACCCAGAGAGTCGAAACTCTTACATGAGTTCACAGATGCAATCAACTACTTGAATCAATTTCTACCAGCAGACAAGAAAATTATTCACAAACCATGGGATATGAGTCGCGCTTCAAAAAGTCGAGATCAAGATGTGATTGGTACGCTTGAGAGTATGGGTAACGAGGTTGTTACCCATACTGGAATATTTCATAACGGAGACGGCAAAACAACAATGCCAACTGTGCAAAATGGCGTTGCTAGAACGAATTGTATTGATTGTTTGGATCGAACTAATGCTGCTCAATTTGTCATTGGTAAGAGAGCTCTTGGATATCAACTCTATGCTCTAGGCATCCTGAGTGAACCTTCGATCAACTATGACACTGATGCGATAAACCTTTTCACATCTATGTATCACGGACACGGTGACACAATTGCAATTCAATATGGAGGCTCACAACTAGTCAACACTATGGAGACTTATCGAAAAATTAATCAATGGACTAGTCAATCTCGAGATATGGTAGAAAGTTTCCGACGATACTACAACAATTCATTCCTTGATGGCCAGAGACAGGAGGCTTATAATTTATTCCTCGGAAATTACGTCTACGAACATGGACAGCCAATGTTATGGGATTTAGCAACTGACTATCATCTTCATCATACTGATCCACGTGTTTGGTCTCCGCGTACTCGTCGAAGTTATATAAATTGGTACACACCTGCCTTCCTCGAGAAGAAGACTTTGCCCCCATATTCCGATCCACAAGGTGTCTTGACAAACAAACCTCTCAACTATTTTGATGACTATTGGATTGAGTATTATAAGCCTCTCTCCATCTCCTCCATGGTTAAGATCTTTACTTATCCGGGCAAAATGTCTTCCTCCGCTCGTCTCCTGCCCCGATCACAGCATCGTGATGAGTCTCGCGTCGGCTACGATTTGTCGCCATTCAAAGTTCGCGCTGATGCTACTGCTCATGTTGAAGAGCCCCCTATTCCGCAATCGTCTCCTAATTCAAAGGGCAAGAAAAAAGAGGTGTCATTTCCGGACACCACTGACTTAAGGGCTGATGACGATATTCCAGAGGATTCATCGATCAGATCTGGTGGAGGCGGTACGAAACGTATTAGTCTTCAAAGGTGGCTTCAGCCGATCCAGGAGTCATATCCTCTCTCTGACAATGGATCGTATCATTCGACAGCTTCACAAAATCATCACCATAATCCTCCTGGTATCATGAAAGAAACATCGTCTCATTCGCAATCACATTCAACGGAAGATTCCTTCCACAATTATAATATTACTTCGAATCATTACTCTTCAAATATACATTCAAGTCGAAATTTGGGAGGACTAGAGAGGAAAAAGATGACACCATTGGATAAAAGCAAAGCTGCTCAATGGACCTTCACTCAAGTTGTCAGTGAATCTCTCAACCCCAGTGTCAATTTAGGCGAAGAAGAGGATTATGAGCGATACGTCGAGTATCCACAATTACTATCACTAGTAGTAGGAGATGATGATCATGATATCGAAGGTGTAGAGGAATACGAGGAATGGGTCAGAGGTGTTGGCTGGGATAGTGGATTTGGTCAAGGCGCGTACAACGGGGGAATCAATGGAGGTTGGGGTAGAGAAGAAGATCATGAGGAAATCGAGGAATATAGAAGCTTTTTGAGAGTGGCGGAAAATCCTTTGACGGTGCTTGAGGAAGACGGACAGAAGAAGAGATATAAGGCATATAGGAAATGGTTGGCTGGGAAGAGTTTGTTTAAACAACAACCTATTGATTAGGGAATTGACGGCGGGGCGCAAGGTCTTTCGTTTTAGCATGGTGTTATGGGTGTATATTCTGCTAGGGCTTGTTTGGGGAGTGCGGTGTTAGGTATCAATTCATTTACAATTCATAACACTCGGAAATTTCTTAAGGAATCATGCATTTGTTTTGAAGTTCTTGTTTATTATGGAAATTGCTAGACACTCACTTTTTGATCCATGTTCACATTCTGCTCTTTTCATTTCATGATATCATTCTTCATAAGTTTTGCCGCATGTTAACCCTTGTAGCTCTCTGATCAATGTTGGTTGTGTTACGCGCTGCTTGTGCATATATCGTAGAATCCCTGTAGTTGTTAGAGATCTTAATAAGTGTCGAGTCATTATCAATATCTCTTTACCACCCTCGATTCTCTTTTTTAACGGTCAATTGGATCTCTTTTGCGATGCTTGGAAGAGTCATGCCGTCTGAAGTGTGTGGATCGATTCCGTGGAAAACATCAATTGTTGAATTTGTGAATGTTACAATCGGGACGAGTTTTGTTAGATTCTGATCGATATACAGAACATAGATACTATAGCCTTTAGCTTTACAGCACAAGCTCTAGAAAGTCGTGGAACATGTATGGTGTTTGTTTGCTTGCTTTTGGGGAGAATTGTGGATATTTCGAGAGAAGCACCATACGTTACTATAAAACAGTTCTGCAAGTATCTACCAAAGTCTAAGAAACTAACACTTTGACTCTCGTAATAAATTCTTTTAAAAATCTGTATACAGGCTGAAAAGTTTGAGGCTGGTTTGTTTATATCTTTCTCTGCTTTTCAATCTTCAGTCTTTGATTTCTAGTCTATTCTATTCTCAAAATTATACTAGATCTTACGATTCATTCCCAGCCCTCTGTAATACTATGTCTAGACTCGAGAAACAGTACTATCTATCGCTCATCAAATATAAAATCCGTTTAATAGAATCCCTTATACATACTTGAATATCATCTGATATTCTCATGCTTTCATACTCTCCTTTCTTACCGACTTCACATACAAGTCTACATGAAATAAATCAATAATGCCACATCCGCAAAGCCCCAAACCACCCACATCGTAAACTCACCACCTAACTAATTATTCCTCATCATATCATTATCATCATATCCTCACTCTCGAACTTTAAATAATAGAAAGATGCCGAATTTAGCCGTTTCTATGGAAAATTCTTAGGGTTAATATATAGTAATTCTCACAACCTTCAACTTTCTAATTTTGGGGCTTTTGAACTTCGAAGCTTTTTTCTTGTTTTTGAGATATTATTATAATAGTTGTTCGGTTGCGCGGCTTACGATTTTTCTCATGCATCTTTCTCCGGCATCTCCATCTCCAAAATCTCATCATCCTCGCAATTTCCGCAATTATAATCTCCATACCTACTCTCTCATTTCCTATGAAGAAATAATCCACGCCTGTGATACTTTCCCATCTCTTTGTCCACAAACCTTTCAATGCGTTTCGGATTAGAGCTTTAGGTTAGAGGGCGTGGTTTTGTTTGATTTATTAGATAGCTCTCTATGAAAGCTTAAAAAATATCTGTTGCGTGATATTTCTGTCGGTTTCACTTCTAGATTCTGAGATGATAGTTTTGTATTTGTGTTTGTTTTTCTTTTTGGATCGTGTGGAATGCAAGGTGTGGGTTTCTTCTGGAAAATGTAGATGGGATTGTAGATACAAGATAAAGGGGTTTAAGGAGGGAATTGGAGATGGAGTTGGAGTCAGGATTCGTGGAGAAGAGAAAGGAAGCGGAAGGAGAAGTGTGTGGGCATGAAATTTTCATCGTTTGAATAATTTTTCACGGTATGGTATGAGAGGAGAAGAGATGGAGAAGCTAAATCGTGGTTGAGTTTCTGATACAGATGAGTATGCGATACAGGGACAAATAATGATGGTCTGTCTCACTGACAAGGGCGAAAGCGCAGGTGGTGAATTGGCTAAAATTTTTATAGAGAGGATAGATTTTTAGGTTTTCATTGGATATTTGGATTGGAAATTGAGGAACTAGGTAGGTATGTAAGAGAGAGGAAGGGTGCTTTTTGATAGGGAGCGTTCGGCAATCGTCTGGGGATTGTTAACTTTTTCTTTTGTTGAATAGGGGAAAGGAATAGTGTCAGAATGCTCAGCAGGGTGAGCACTAGTAATTCTGGCTGCAGAACTAATTAATAGTACTGAGAGATAACTATACTGTCAAGCATGGCATCGTGATTCTACTTGCAGACCTTGAATTAATCGCGTCAAGACGACTTTCTTGAGATGCTCCATTCAACGAGATATCTTGTGACCATGTATGAGAACATCGCATTCTTATATTTATATATATGAAAAATTGCGAGTGCCTTTCACCACGATCATTTAGAAAATACTCTAGCCAGCGTTCCATCAGTCTCGATAATCCTCGCCAACTCCCGCTCAAAATTCTCTCTCTCCTTCTCATCACCTGCTTGTTGGACCACTGCTGTAAACACTTTTCCCGTCTCCAGTAGTTCATTTAATATCTCCAAACCTGCCTCTTTTCTTTCCTCAGATTTTTCATCTACTTTTACACAAATATGACAGTTTAGAAGTGTTAAAGCGCTCATGATAACTAATCGATGATCATCGGCACTAATGCGGGGCCAAAGGACTAGAATCACCTCTCTGAGTGTCTTCAGCGTGTTTATAACGAGTGATGGAGAGGTATCGGGAAAGAATGGGTTCGATAGAATATTTACTAGTATAGGCAATATATCCTTGAGATGTTTCACGCCTGAAATTCTCATCTCCGGAATGATGATGCCGATTTGTACGACCAGTATTTCAACCACGGCAGGTATTTCTTGACAGTGTAAGTAAGCAGGGAGAATAGCATGGCGAATTATTCTGTCAAGGAATGCGAGACGAAGCTGAGCTGGTGATTTGGACGGGGCTGTGTTGTGTTTCGAGGGCTTCTTCAAGGCTATGGTTGTCACACTTGTAGAAGGCTCCTCGTCTCCTTTACTAGTAGGCCAGATCGCATTGCAAAGTGCATTCAAAGCTTTGTATCCCTCTGGCAATAACTTGAGTGTTTCTTCGACGGGTGTCGTGGATGGTAAGAATAACAAAACTGGGTGGATAGTATTCTCGAAAACATCACCTAGTCCTGTTTGTTGAAGCAATTTGTCACCCATTTTCGAAAATAGCGTGGGAAGGATTCGAAGAGCGTGAGTTCGGATTGGATTTGATGGTGAATCGAGGAGTATTAGAATAGGAGTGGTTAATAGAGGCCATGCTTGCGCACGGAGAAGATCCGGCTTAATGTGGTTGTTAGTCTAGAGTTGGAGTGAGAAGAGGAAAACGTACAGGAATGAAATCGACGACCCATTTTAAGACAGGTATAGTGTATGGAATAGTTGACCTCCAAGGTTGCTTTGAAGGAGAGGACTCGAGGATATCGAAATGACGGGGTGGTGCAGATGATGGAAATGCTTTCCGGGAAGATGCAGTGATGGATTCGGGAGTAGGGGCTTCGGAAAATATGAGACGGATGAAGGACCTCAAGAGATGATTCACCAAAAACTCGGGAGACTTTACGTAAGACTCGTATTTATCGAGTATTGTGATGGCGATTAGTTGAGACCGAGGAGTCGTCCAGGCATAATTGGTACTAGTGAATGGGATGAGAGAAAGAAGAGTCGAGTTCTTCGGTGATTGTGTTGTATTCGAAGAGATGTTAAGTAGGTGCTCTATCGAAAGAATGCAGAGGCTATATTTCTCTTTACATTGCTTGATTTTGTGGACTTTGTCTGGTTTATCCTCTTCTTAGAAATATGAGTTTATGCTCCCAACATCTGAATTTGCCGGAGACACATTACCGTCAATCTTGTCTAGAGAAAAAATCTTTCCATCAGGTAGCAATTCCTTTGATAAATAATCCTCAAGCTTCTCGTGCCATATATCATCATCTGCTTTTTTCACTATGTTCGAATTTTCCTTCAAGCTGCTGGCGAGGATGACGAGGGTTTCTAGCTCCTCCTAACTATTTAGCAGGAAGTCAGATCAAACAAATTATTGAGGAATGTAAACTTACATCCTCACCTTCCTGTTTTCTATCAACAAGCTCTTGATACAGATCCTCGAAAGAGTATGATGAAGGTAGAGCTAGTCACGTGTTAGAAATAAGTTGTTTAAAAAAGTCTGGAGATTTTACCACTAGATGACAATAACGTGATACCATTCTCGTCATGTTTCGAGTTTCGAAGTGTATCTCTAGCAGGACTACGAGCAGATAAGAACATTATGAATGTCAGGCGTGGTTATATAGATGTATATTTTGTTGTTGAGAAAAATTGGTGGTAGAAAGGGAATGGATATTCGAGAGGATGTGGCTTAGTAATCAATTACATAGAAGCCCGTCCTTTTCAGGATGACAACGCTATATTACAGTGCTTCGTTCTAGAAGTTTATATCCTTTCGGGAATACATCGCAGGTCCTGAACACAATTGACAATAGATTCTCGAGGTCTTCTCGAAGAATATCGCAGCCATGAACATCTTCCACGACGAGCGAAAGATAGTAAATTGAAACTCTCCAGATATCTCATCCTTTTCGACATATGTGGAGCAAATGCTGATTGTGGTAGTCGAAAAAAAGTCATGATGAACAATTCACGCGTAACTTTACACATTTTCTCCCCCTATCTCATTGTTTGATTCAAAGCCACTCACCCAGTGTAAATATCTAAGAAAGTTCTTCTCATCTGACTTAGTAGTCAATATGGTATCCAGGTGTTTAACCAGATGGATTACCTTGTTCTTATTTTATGGGTGACCTCATGTTATAAGAACTCACATGTTACTTGTAAGATTGGGTCGCTCGATGTGTTCAACCTCACATGAGCCTCACGAATGATTCCTTTGCCGAATTCCATGCACTTGGGGCTATACACGCGGAATACATCTTCTCATAAACATTCAAAGTTGCCTGTTGGATCTGTCCGTTCACAGGGCCTCGAAGGGAAACCGTGCATTCCTACATAGCCGCGCGTTTGACTTGAAGGTCAGATCTTACATGCGATTCGTCACGAAGCAAAACTCTTAGGGAGGGCTTATGGAAATCAAACTCTTGGAATTGAAAATGCTGGGGAGATCTATCATACGAAGCGTTTAAAATGGCATATCTTATGGAATCTCACAATGCTCCCTCACAAAACTTTGTTCAGTCTCAGGTCTACCACGCGGTCCAGGGCTATGAATTGATCCCTCTATGGATTTTTGTTGCCATGGCGCTACAATGTCCACGTAATGGTTCTTGTCTGTTGGATCATTGAACAAGATACCACAGATATTGAGTTCAAGGAATTTTGGTATATATACCAGTTGATCTGAACACTTGGCAAAGACCCCCATCAAGAACTGGAGGACTTCTAATTTTGCTACATAAATCTCACGCTTCCAAAATAATTAGGATATCAGATTAGCAACCACATCCCAGGACGTTATTTTAAGTTTTTCAATTCTCCACAGTCATGCAGATCGTACGAAAAGCCGTATATACTCCTTACGAGAACGAGAGTGGGAGGGTTTGGCTCAAATTTGGAGGACGCACCATCAACTTTATTATGACCAACGAGAAGCAAGATAAGAATAATGCCATTCCAGGCTCAGAGCCACTTAAAGGTACTATCTTCAAAGTTCCTGATCAAATTGCCTCCTAGAAAGGATCTAACGATTATGAAGGGCCATTCAAAAAGAGCTTGTGGGCTGGATTTGGCACGAAGAAATTCAAGCAGGAGAAAGTAGAAGACAAGGAAGATACGCACAAAATGAGCGAGATGGATGATAAAGGCCTTGATATGAAGTGAGGATAGCAGATGCGTGGTTCAAACTTATGGGGTAGCAATCGGGAGAGCTTAAAGACGTTGAGCATCTCGTTGTTGAATACTGTACTTGAGAGAGTACGTAGAGACTGAGAGTTAATTGGATAGGCGGTGGCAATATAGGAGTTTGGAGTTGCTTTTTCCAAATAGATGAAAAATGAGGATATATACACTCAATTTGACGCTTGATTCTCTGATTCTGCGGAGCTTTGTATGATTTATTGTAATGATCAATTTGTCTCACCAGTACCCAAGTATGGATACTACATTCAATAAGTCCCGATATTTCAAAGTGCGCGCACGACTGACCTTGCGACTATTAACATCTAATATATCCTACGCCTACACCGACTTTAGGTTTGTCGTCGGTACCTGTCTACTTTTCTAGGTAGATAGGTAGATATTCGGCGGTTCAATTCCATGTTATATTATTACACAAAAAATCCAACCATACATAAGGTTAACCTTGTACAATTTCTTTAGTCATTCAACTTTTCCCTCCACCACTCCTTAACCAACCGGAAATCCTCATTTTCCCCCGCTGACACACACCACACATCAACGCACGCCTCACGCCTCACACAACCACAATTTCTTTTTTTTCATGTGAAAGTCCACCACTTCTTTTTGCCTCGTGAAGCACTAACTTTACTCCGATCCCCTACTTTTTCCACATTGTCTTTCCATGTAACCATCTACATCTCACTGTCTTGGGCAAAATGCTTTCTATATTCATTCTTTAATACTCCTTTTGATTGATTTCGATTATTCGGGTGGAAGAGAGTGTATTAGAATGATTGAGAGCGATTTCGGGGACATCTTGGCTTCTAATAAGGATGATGTAATCCAGAGTGAGTTTTTGCTCATGTTTGACATGTGATTTTCGATGTTTGGTCTTGAATCTCGGAGTTCTGGAGAGAGGATTTGATATGTGAAAAATGGCTGACTTGGGACTTGGTTTTCGTGATGAATAGGTATTCTCACTGAGGAAGATGTATGTTTATTTTCTTTACTACCTGTACATGGCATTGTCGTCTGGTTTTCGTGATCCTCTTCTATTGCCCCGTACCTACCTACTCTTTGAAAAGCTGTGGCGCATACGAGTACCACGCTTTGCCATAGAGGGGCTGAGGGGTACAAGCAAAGCAAAGAATCCGATTATTGACAATATAATACATCTAGCTATACAAAATTCTTGGAGCACAAAGATCCGCTTCGGGTGCAGAATTGCGACGATGCTATTTAGAACGATCGAAAATATGTCATCCCGATAGAATTCCTTTTCATCCGCTTTCTACCCGGTAATTCTTCTTTTGTCCTTCGCTTTCGCCTACGTACCCCCTATTATGTCGATTGTGAACTGACAATCTATCATTCAGCGCATTCCAACGTCTAGCCTTCTCTTTCGAAATTCTCAAATCTCCGTCTTCTCGTCGAGCTTACGATTCCGCCACTTCCTTGTCCTCAATTTCTACTTCCACTTCGTTACCCACCAAACATCCTTCTCCGTCCTTAGCCTCAGACAATTTGTTTCGAACTACCGTCTCATCACTCATACATGACTTCCTTACAGGCGACTTCATTACTATCCGCTCGCTTTTATCATCCTTAAATTCTCAATACCCTCACCTGATTAATACCGACGTAACTTCTTCTATCGAAGTCGCTTTTATAAAAGTGAGAGAATTGGTTATGAGAGGACGGGTATGGGCATTATTGATATATATTGAAATGGGGAGGATATGGAGAGTTCAGAAGAGGCTGAGAAGATTAGGAAGATGGGATTTAGTAGGGAAAGCGAGGATGATGCTTTTATTAGTAAGGGTGGTCGTAGCCGTTCCCGTCAGAGTTGATCGGGCTCTCAAAGCACGTGTTGAGAAAGAGAGAAGAACAATGAAAACGGGATCAGAAGCAAAGGAACTGGACGAGAGACTGGACTCGGAAGATGAACTCGCGAGAGGCGGAATTCTAAATGAGAGGGTTTGTAAAGTATTGGAGTTTATTGTTGGGGAGGCGGGTAAGGATGAAGAGGGAGAGGATACTGGTGTTCGGATTTGATATCAAATGATTTGGTATTGGTATTATATGCGGCTTGGGCTTGGAATATTCGGATGTGGGAAAAGGGGAATCACGCTTTTAGTGGCTTGTCCTATTACAGGGAGTGGCGTTTGGATAGGATATACCAAAGACTAAAGAGATATGGACAGTTATATTGTATTGGATCCAAGGTCTTTTGTGGAACGATACGATCTTTGGATACAGGAAAATTCCTAGCTATACAATGACGAAAGAAGATTTTTTGTGCGTTACCATTTTTTTCCCGGACGTTCAAAATTTTGCGGGAAATTTAGGCACCAATTTCTATAAAGTACTTGAATGTATAACGGGCTAGTGTTTGTATATTTCTTACATGGTTCGTTTCTTCATCTTCGCGGTGATTAAATTATCTTTGATCGGTCATCAGATTGCATACATTGTAAACGTCTATTCCTTTCCTTTTTTTTCTTTTCCTCGTATCTAATTCTCTATCTCTATGCCATCAATGCGTCCTTGAATTTTAGTGAATCAAGCTTTGGCATGTATTTTTATATAGCTGAGACCTAGGTAGGTGTATTGGTTTTAGCTATGGTTGCTTGTGGAAAATTTCTTTTGGACTAGAATTTGGACGTGGACTTGAACGTGGACTTGAACTTGGATTTATTACATAAATATTGGAGGGTTTCATGTTTATGGTGGTGATGGGAATGGTAGTGTTTTCACTTGTGTGTATATATGTATTTGTTGATATACCTAGGCAGAGAGAGATGGGATTTATCACCGAGTTACTTGTTATGTACATATTTTTTGTTTCTTGGGAATATATATCGATCACTATGAGAATTTCGAGCTGGAAAATATAGATTGTCGGAGGTTCCTGTCAATTCACAACATGACCCCCCACCCCCTCCTTTCGTTGCCAAAAATTGTCAAAGATTTCTACATCATGAAAACACTGCTTTGTTTGCAGACATACTGGAGTACAGCTATTTATAAATTATCTGCAAATTATCTGCGTATTATTTGCAAACAATCTGTTCAGATCTACGCTTGGATCACTTTTAGGCTACAAAATAGTTTTCGAATAGCTTCAAATTTAATTGAAAATCGGGAACGCAAATAATCTGCAGATAATCTGCAGGCAGGGCAGGTAGGATCTCTAGCGAGTAACTCGTGGGTCAGATTACCTTCAGTTCACCCCGCGGCTACAGATAATTATTTTCGCAGCCTATTTGCAGAATTGTATGCTGAGCTTGGCTCGCGTCAAAAACACGTCTCGAAATATTGACGCCTAGCGGCAAAGGCCTGATACACCGCGGTAAGCACCATCAACATTTGATGAAGGAACGCCGAGATATACAAAAGGCGCTGTAGATGAGATGTTTGGAACGGGAATACGGCTCATCTCGATAGAGGAATGAAAAATATAACTTATAAGAGCTGCAAGATTTTCCTTTCCTTTTCTCTTCCAGTTCAGTATCATCAGCAAGCATCACTTCGCTCTACTTATCATATCATCAATAACAATACCATTAACGACTTCTACCTTCTCATTGAATTATAAAACACGATTCATACATTCCCAAAGCCCAATCAAAATGCATTTTTCCACCCTCGTCACCCTTACCCTCTCCGTCCTCAGCGCCCAAGCGATGGCAAAAGATTGCACTAAGGGTTTTTACTACTGTGGCGGGGACTTGCTCACAATCGGTACGATTACGTTTCTTCTTCCTTTTTTCACTGCTTCTCGACCCCTTCCCCTTCCCTCTCCTACTCTCCCCGTCCCCCTTCAAACACTCAACCCACTAACACAAACCCCAGGCAGTTACCACGACACCATCATGCAAGCGCTCAGTACCTCCCACCTCACCCCTGACGATGATCACATTTTCCGTGGGCTCTTCCAATGCGTCGACGGTGGCTTGCTGGGAGAGGCCAAGTACTGCGCAAATGGCTGTTGGTTGGCGGGAAGTGATAGCCCAAATAGTGATAGATGTATCTAGTGAGGTGTGCAATGTTTGATGTGAATTCTGGAATGACAGTTTAACGTCTAGGAATGAGGTTCTAGGAGGCGGGTGGGAGGTTTAGGGAAGGAAAGACAAGGGGTATGGAGGAGGAAGAAGGGGAGAATATTTGTACTTTTTTTTGTTTTGTTTTTTTGCTTGTTGCTTTCATACTATGTATCATGATAGAACTCACACACTCGTTTAGCTCGTTTGGGGGAAGGGGGAACAGACACTCGTCTGGATCGATTGCGCTGTTATTACTATTACCTTTGCTTCAAGTTAGAGTTAGACCGTAAAGTTAGGATAAATTATCTTTCAAATTCATCACTTCCCTTTCGGACCAAACAACTATCCTACACATGAGATAATAGTTTCTAGATTGAAGATCGCGTGAACAACAATTGGCATAAACATAAGGATCTATTCCAACAATATTCCCAATCTACAACAAGACAAACGTATTAAAATGTGTTTCACGGATAATCTATGGACCAGCATAAATACTAACCGAGACATAGTCTCGCCATCATCACCGACAGATTGATTATATCTAGCACAGTGTTGACTTTCCCTCTCATTTCGTCTCGCACAGATTGGTGCAAACCTAACAACGACTAGGTATAAAACGCGGGAGACTTTAATAATTTTCAATTGATTGAACTTGAGAGATATCCGCTATGCTCTCACTATGGGCAATATCCACGACTGCTTTCAAAGGGCCACTTCAACACTACGACCCCCCACTTGGTGGAAAATCACTAATGATAAGAACTTGGTAACACTAAGATCCGTGGAAAGTAAGAGAACAAGATCATACTTACAATAAATCCACTGAAGTAGCGCTGATGTTGTCAAACTACAAAATATTTGACAAAATGGCAATGTCATGATTTATGAACGACTACTACATAAAACTTGATAATATTGATCATTGCTAAAGTCGTTCATTGAAATCATCTCATAGCATATTCGTACATATGACCCCGATGTTCATCCCTGAGACCTATCTTCAACCAGATCTATAACTCCTCAGACTCCTATTTTACAATGCTTTCCTCCAAACACTGTCAAAGGTTCCTCTCGAAATAAAATGGTATATGCAGGAAGTTCGCTCGCTCTCATTCACAGCTAATAATGCTCCCACCCTATCATTATTCTTGTTCAAAATCGTTACTCGTAACAATCTTATCTTTCTCTTCCGCTTCTATCATTGCCCCATGCAAGGGCGCTGATTCGAGACTCGCAATGGGAGGCGGTGCTACTCCACCCAGGAGACTTCTTCGATGTGGACGGGAATTGAAGGCTTCGCTTTCTTCTCCCATGGTTGTCTCTATCATATCATCATCTGGCATGATTGTTGCTTGGGATTCGGTGATCGGATATAAAGTATTTTCGATCTGCGTCTCAAGACCCTGAACAAATTCATTTGCTTCCGCAAAATGCAACAAACTGTCTTTATTTGACAATGTAGCATACTTCGCCCGAGCATCATCTAGACTCTTTTTCGATTGATGAGGCTTCTCTAGGCTGAGCCATCCTTCGGCGGCCATGATACTCCACATGGCAGATTTTCTTGTTCTACTACCCCAAAGACCAATTCCGTGTCCCTTCTTTGTACCATAACAGACCGCAACACGCTCCTTGAATAATGAGTCGCCAACTGCACCTACAATCTTGTGTTCAAGGAGTCTCGCACCCCATCTTGCTGCATCGCCAGTTGCCGAACCGCCTCTGACCCTAAGAAGCTCCATTCCTAAGGTCAAGCAGCGCAGGGCTCCATAAGGGGCACTGCATCGTGTCATATACGAGTACGATGAGGTTTCAAGCATCATATCGATGGTTTCAGTACGTGTTTTGGCGCTGATAGAATGAGGCATCATGAGGGTACTAACAGCAGCCATTTCATTGGCTGCTGCATGATATTTCCATGCTTTATCATTAGTGAAATCCGACCGTAACAGATCATAAATTTGTTGGGCCAATTTCCAATCCCGAAGCATGAACGAGTAGTCTGCGAGCTTTCGCATCAATGCTTCCGGTGAATCTGGTCGGTAAAATCCTTGTAACGCATCATAATTACTACCGGATCCTACCGAATTTGATGAATTACTTCGTGAGCTAGAACCAAATGCTCCTGGCCATTTTATAGTTTTCGATAAGCTCATAAATCTACCACTTATTCCTCTTCGCCGTGAAGCAACCTGGTCGTTCCAGGTCGCTACACACCTTTCCATTGACGGAACGACAGATTGAGTAACCATCTCGCGAATGAATGTTTTTATGGCAGTGGTATCGGATTCATATATACAAGGAAATGAGTCTTCGGGGTCTTCTTGGGACTCTCGCGCCTGAATTTCGGCCATTTCCTCTGATGCAGCTATCCATTCGCACCGTGGGAGTTGTACACTATCATCATCTGTTGCCACGCATTGACTGCTTCGGAGCCTTAAGAGATGACAATGAAGCCCAAAATGGCGTTTCATTTGTTCAAATAATGTGATAGATTTTGTGATATCATCTCGTTCTTCATCATGTACCAGAACATAATAGCGGAGATAATCATCATTGACCCATAGTGGCAACCGCTTTTCTCCGTGACTTGATTCTTCATATAGCCTCCTTAAAGCTTCAATCGGATTTTTGTTACGTGAACTTATGGCGATAATACATGCCACTGGATGTGAGAAAGTTTCGTGCGGGGCTAAAGGTATTCCTGAAAGTAACCTTCGTAGATAAAGTGTATAAAAAGGCGAAGTTGCCCCTGAAATTTTAGAACTATCTTTCAGGTTCAAAAAATCTTCTGCACTGACACCAGGAAATTCTTCAGCATTCGTTAAATGACGATCAACAAGTCGCTCAATTTGAGGAATATCTCCTCCCGTTCTCAGGCGCTGAGCAGCTATTGAGTCTGGTATGGATTTGTTGCCATTCGGTGACAGAACTCTCCCCTCTCCACTCCTTCGCGACCCAGGTATCCCATCCGGTATTTCGAGCCCATCCCCCAGTTGAACAAAGCGTACTCCAAAATCGTCATATGTCCGGCCAGCCCCTATACTATCTCGTACATTGACTTTTCCTTGTATTTTCTCCCCAAACGGCCTTATTAACTCCCAAAGTCCTCCCTTGAACCCTTTGTCTTGCACAAGCTCATGTGTATCGATAGATGTGTGTACCGCAATATGTGGAACAAATCCGGATAAAATTAAATTTCGAGGATCGTCTTTCCTGTCTGATGGTAAGAGATGGCTTTCAGAGAGCGTACTACCACCAAATACAGATCCTGCGATTCGCGAAGGTGTCGATGATCCGCCGGTCGGGGAGACTGGTCTTGAACCGGAAGGTGTTGTCGTTGACGCGAACAGTGACTGTACTGAGGCATTCGACGCTCTGTATGGCAGTGAAGATACAGATGAAGTCATTGATTGCGAATCTGCAGAAATTCTTGTCTTGGGCCTCCTCAGCGGCGTGGGACTCGTCACCGAATCGGGGGGGCTGAAGGGAGATGCATGATTCGAAGGTGTCATGAAGACCGAGGGGTCCGCAGCCGGAAGAAAACAACGTTCGCACTAATTTCAATGACCCTAAATAATCGCACAATCATGCGCCGAATCAATCAAAGATAGACTGCAGCAGCGGCAAAGCAAGGCGATCGTTCATCCAGATGTGGTCTTGTGTAATACTCGAACGTCGATCCGTCTGAGATGGTCTATGTTGGAATTGTAATTAATCGACATGAGCATGAAATATACGAGAGGGGTTTAAGGACTTTTGTCGTATAACTCCCTTTAAAAAGTCCCTTGTTTTTTGTACTTTGAGTACGTCTAAGTTACCATCGCGGGTACAACCACAGTTAATGATGGCCTTGCGCTAAGAATAATCCAGCATCACCAAAATCCTCAATGTCACGTGACTTGAGTATAAATTTCAGTCTGATGCCGTATTTTTCTTTATTTGTTGTTTATGGATTCAGCAGTGATAATAAATTACAGCTCGACTATTCATTGAAAGGTCCCCCATTCACCTCATGTTATGATTCCATATTGGACATCTTTGGTACAGAGCTGTGGAGTCATAAAAGTCAGATCTAATATAAGAGTCACCATCACCAAACGACAAACATTTAAATTCTCTTCGATGAAACGAAAACACAACGAAGAACAGATTTCTTTCGCAAAAAGATTACGAGGAACGACTATGGCTACCGCTACTGTTACGTTGACTCCTCGAGAAAGTCAACTTCGGAATCTTTTGCTTGATGTAGCGAATTTTGTCAATGGGTCCAAAGATATTGAGAAGAAAGTCGAGTTGAGATGGGCAGGAGGATGGGTTCGGGACAAGCTACTTGGGATCCAAAGTCATGATATTGACATAGCAATCAATGTCATGACTGGGCAGAACTTCGGTCTGAAGATGCGGGAATATTTGGAAGATGCAGAAAACCTCAAGAAACATGGACTGGAAGCTAAAGATGTCAAAAAACTATACAAAATTGCTGCGAATCCAGAGAAGTCCAAACAGTTGGAAACTGCAACTACCAACATCTTCCAGTTCGATGTGGATTTTGTGAACTTACGCAAGGAAACTTACGCCGAAGATAGTCGCAATCCTGAGATGGAATTCGGCAGTGCAGAAGAGGACGCACTCAGACGGGATGCTACGATCAATGCTCTATTCTATAATCTTCACACAGATATTCTTGAAGATTTCACTGGAGGACTTGCGGATATGAAGGCCAAACTCATCAAAACACCACTTGAACCATACACTACTTTCAAGGATGATCCGTTGCGAGTTTTGAGGTTAATCAGATTTGCTAGTCGACTAGATTTCAAAATTGATCCGGAGGCGGAAAATTGTATGAGTAATCCAACTATCATGGAAGCTCTAAAACTTAAGATCAGTCGAGAAAGAGTTGGGGTTGAAGTGGAGAAAATGTTAAAAGGTAAGCAAGCTGTCATTCAGACGATTGTTTGATATTTGAATTTATTTCTTACCAATTTCAGGAAATAACCCATGGCAATCTTTGAACTATTTCGATCGACTTGGTATCTATTCAACAATGTTCACGGATCCTACAGCACATGAGGTTCTAACACCAGATACATCGAGCTGGAAAATCGTGTACGATTGCTTAAAGGAAATGACATTGAACGAAACACCAGACTCGATTTACAAATCGCTAGTGCGATCAGATGACGCCAAATACCTTGCCTGGATTCTCGCCGCTTTGACACCATGGACGGCCATCCCACCAGCACAAGCAGCAAAACCAGGAGGGAAGATACCTCCGCCATATGGAGCTTTGGTTGCTCGAGAAGGACTAAAAGCGGAAAGCAAGTTGTGCAATATGGTTGCTGGTGCATTCAAGCAATACGCCGAGATCACTGAGCTTAAGGATGCAATCAAGAAAAATGACCCATATATTCACGAACGAGATACAGTTGGAATGATGATTAGGAAGTGGGAATCACATGGTGGGCAATGGAAATTACAAGCCCTATTTGCATTGCTCGTGGAGGCTTTGAAGCTAGAAAGTGCTGAAGGTATGATTAATTTCCAAACGTTTTGATCATTGGAAGCCTTGTGTGCTCTACAATTTATGCTAAGTTTCTCTAGGATACCAATCACTATTTTCTGAATGGCAAAAGTTCATTGACCACCTCAAAGACCTTGATGTAATGGAGGCACCGGCAATCCGAGGGATAGTAGATGGAAAGATTCTTTCAAAGTCACTGGGTGTCAAGCCTGGCATATGGATGGCGCCGGCATTGAATGTATGCATGGAGTGGCAGTTGAGAAATCCTGATTCGACAGATACGGAAGCTGCAATTGAGGAAGTTAGGAAGCGAAAAGAGGAGTTAAATATACCCCAGAAATAGTGATCAAAGGAAGTTGAACAGCGATGTAATACAGATTACATAGTTAAAATACTATTAATATTCGCAGCTGCTCTCCACTCACCTGTGCTATCGGATTCTACGTACCATCGCAAGTAGGCAGTCTGTCTATCGTAGATTATCAATCACCATCTATTTTAGCAAGAAATCAATCTCCTACTTCAAATTGTCGTCACGAGTTCATTTTCTCTGATCCAGTTCCAGTAAATCGGGCTAAAATTCGTTTGTTTGAAATCCCCAATATTTTTCATCATGCGTCCCTCTCATCTGTTCCATGACCATTCGCAATCGAACCATTTAACCCGTGATAATGGTATCTTCAGCTTCCATTCTCACACTCATTACCATCACTGCCTTTTGCAATTAGGAAGTTTAATGACCCTACATCTTGGCATCCATCTGCGAAAGACATTGTCCTCTTTCTGCTCCGTTCTAGCTATAACTTGCACTGTTTTATTTGTTGCAAAGGGGTAATAACGAGCCCGACGTAAGACCTTCGGTCTACCGCTCAATGCATATTTTTATGGCGTACTCTGTAATCAAAACGCCAGATGGCAGCAGTACTGAGTCGGGACAACCGATTTGCGCCCCAACATTTGACCCCGATTTTTCGCATCAACAGCTTGCAATATTTCATCTCCAAAAGAGCCCAAACTATGTCCCAACAGCTGCGCGACTTAAAAAAATCCACTGGATTCGGTATTCTTTGCATTGTTGTATACTTCGGTGTTTGATGATTCTCTATTGTAGAAATACCTACTTGCCAATTGCTCGAAGAATCTTGACGCCAGTTTCTGGGCGTCCAATTCCAAGAATGATATTCAGAAGCAATAAGATTGACTTTTAAAAAAACAACCTTCGGGTTTCTCAGTCTGAGATTGTTAGAAGTTTCTTTTCCAGAATTGATATTAATATTTCAATATACAACAAGAATCTAATCCCTTCGACTTGAAAGTCTGCTACTGGAATAACATTACTCTCAGTCTCACCGCCTTAAAGTAGAATATTCTGCCCATAATAAATTCTTCAAATAGAGACCATCTGAATCGTGAGAGCCATCCGATTACAAAACGAAAGGAAAGTATTGAGAAGTGCCACGAGTTCTTTCTTCTTGAAGATTTACTTTGTCACCAGCTATTCAGTTCGATTCTCCGCACACAGCCCCTCGCACTGGTCTGGTAATCTGGTTGTATCTTATGGAAACACATGATGAAAATGCAAAATGAGGCCAACATCGTCTTCTGTTCCAATATACCCATGGAAGTTTGGGTTATGATAGGACAAATTTCTAGCAAGCCCTCTCTCTATTCTCTTGTTAGAGTATCGCGCAGTTTCAGAACCATGTTTTCGCCGATTCTTTACGAAAATTATACCATCGAGGTGTTGGGTCACCAAATCTCCAGCGTAATCCCGTCCTTCGTTCCTTTTATCAAGAACTTGGAGGTGATTATTGACATTAGACCGGAAATGTTGCCCGCATTCAAACAAACCAGCCTGGATTGTGTTTTGTTGATTATGAAATATCTGAACAATACTAAGGAACTCCAATCTTTCAGGTGAAATACGATACAAACTATTACATGTACAGTCGCATATGTTAATGCATTATCTAGGTTGGTTAATAACAGCCGTTTGTCCATATTTGAGGTTGGGGGTGATGATATGGAGAATGACAACATCACGTGTGGCGCCTTGATCTTAGAGAATGCGACATTATTACGTCGCCTCAAAGACATTCGAAGCCTTAAGAAGGTTCACTTTCGAAGTGCCGCTCTAGCTACCCGGGAAGCTGCTCAGGCTCCGCATATGTGTCTTTTCAAAGTGAGCGGATTCGTCAACCTGACTAGTCTAGAGCTTTACGCTCTCCATGGTGACAAGTACAGTATCATCAGAGATCTGGTAGAAATTTTACGCACATCGCCTGCCCTACAGATACTAGGTTTAGGTCTAACTGGAGAATGGATTCCTGATACCCAAGCTTTTCTACATAGAGAGGGAACCAGAGATTGTCTCTCAGAGCTGTGTCGACTTTACAAAGAAAAGCCAGAGACTTCGCCATTAAATCTGAGAGAGCTCAAACTCGGATGTGGTATGATTCCCTGGTTTAGCATATCGCAGAATGATACTCGGTGTCTGAGTAGTCTGGTTAATACCGGATCACTTCAAGAACTACAAATATTTAACGCAGAAGATGAAGAAGCTTTCTACGAGAAAATAAATCTGGATTATCTGAGCATGGATATTTGTCCAAAACTCCGAAAGCTTTGGGTCAATAGGATGTCGGATGAGCTAGTCACTTGGTTAATGACGAAACGCAACTCAGTGACTGAGCTGATCATGACAGACTACCAACCACAGTGGCGCTTTGTAGAAGCTAGGGAAGGACCAATCAACAACATCAGGCTACCGGAAACAATATCTTTACTGTATCTCCGTGAGGATGCAGATACAGCAGACTACGGCCAATTTTTATACGACATCTGTAGTACCTGGGAGGCGTCAAGAGCCTTCACTTCAATTGCGTCGCGCCACATGGCGGTTGGTTCTCAGTATCTTACCGACCTTTCGGCTTCGATTGACTTTGAAATACAATGGGTAAGTGAAGCGATTAAGCTAATTCCGTGCCTCCAAATATCTGTGATTACGCGGAAGAATACAAAGATTTCAATACTCCGGACTGATCTTAAGCTTTCAATTTTCGGAAGCTACACAACATTGAGGCTGAATTTAGTGATTTAAGCTAAGTCATTTGAATCAACCACGCTGCCTGTATCATTTGAACTGTTTAAATCTTTCAAATTATCTGATATCCAAATCATCCGAATGAAACCAAGATTTGAAAGCTTCTGTTTGTCAGGCTGGTATATGGACTTTAGAAGAATTGCATAATAATGGCGTATTCTCTTTGATCAGGATGAGATGGTTCTATTTAGGCGTATCATCTAGAAGCTAAGCTACTATTCTAGGACGAATTTAGGTGTCAAATACCCAATGTTCCGTCGTTGACTCGACTCTCGTTACAAAGTAGGAGAACCAGATCCCGTGCATGGCCGTCGGCACAAGCGTCCCGCTGGCCTTACGTCAGAAGACCCCGAGATATTGCGTATCGATATGCCCACACACTCGCTGAAGAATCGAATTCTCTAAGGTATATCGAAATTGGTGAATGGGCTTGGAAAATAAAACGGAGACCATTCGCACTCGAAGAGCTGGATGAGGACGAAAAGGAAGCTATATATCTGTTCAACTTACCGAAACTAATATCTGAATCTGCTCTAGGAGGTCGGAGGGACAATTTGGACTTTGAAAGTACTCACTACTAGTAACGTTCTTAATCTATTGACTGGATAAAGTACAAAAAGAGTTCATGGGGTTTTAAGAGTCATTACTCGGGGCGGGAATCGGTATATGAGAAAAACACGACTACACAATACATCAATAGATTCAACAATATTTACACAGAGAATCATTATAAGATGCCTAAGATGGTCAGCCAAGTAAGCTCTGAGATTGATAAGAAATATGGAGGACTACCGCTTGAAATTTGGACTATGGTCGCAGACATAGTATAGAATTTCCCGTTCAGAGAACCGTTTACATGAAAAAGGCTTGTGCAGTCTTGAAGTGCATTCCCATCGCTGAATTCGAAATTAAGCATTCAAGAACATAGCACGGGACCTAGATCAATTATTTGGATGGATCAAAGTACTCGCCTTATTGCAACCTAACAGATCTCATAACAATGTATCTAAACCCAAATGGAGAAGACATGATAATTGAATTGAGAGACAGCATTACGTGTACCGCAATGCTAGTTTTGAAATGTACATTGAAGTAATTCTTTGAGCACATGCATGACAGCAACTACCCACTACTAATCAGTTATTAGATTCCAAAGACTAGCAAACGTATATTATACATCCTAACCAAGTTTGTCGAACCTTCAGTTGTATATTTTCCCCACATCTATACCGAAGGCCTGCTTTGGTTATTAATGGCAAAGCCAAAGACGAGACTCCTGTACCATCGTTTCTAACATATGTGAGACCTACAAATTTTAGCTTCGAAATACCTTTTAAATACCTCCAATTTGGAGAAATACATTCATGCTATGGGAGGACTTCGATCTCTACAGTCAGTCATAAATCGCAGTTGAGATGCTGCATCTACTGACGGATATTTAGCTTATACGGTTCTTTAACAAGGAACGAGGATTGGGTAAAGATTTTTCTCTTGAAGATGAAGGAATCCTCCAGATGTTGAAAAGAAACCTCCCAGAAATAACAGAAGTCTACATGGCGATATCAAAGGATGGACTCATCAACATGTGGAGGAGTGAAGATGTATGGGGAAAGATTGTGTTTCACTATCACAAATTGGTCTGGCTGCGTCATGCACCAAGACTTATATTATATATCTATCTCTCGAACCAGAATTAGCACAAAGTGATGATTATCCAAATATTGAATCGTTCGCTTCGTCATATGCCAGAAATCCAAAACTTATTGTTCAGCCTTATGCAATACTCATAGCTGTGGCTTGTTCATCACTAGGATTTATTCAGATTGGCAGTTGGGCGTGGAAGGTCAAACTTCTTGAGAAACAAGTTGATAACATGAAACTCAACGGGAAGATTACGATCGAAGAATTAGGTGCGGAGGAATAAGTGCTATTTATCTTTCCATCCTCCCGGATTTGGTCAGACAGTCACCATTGGCGGCATATTGCTGGATCACAATAGGTAGGTACCTAGTCAATCTTACAATTCAAAATATCAATAATCGAATTTTTTGATAGTTTCACATTCATACTCGGACATTAGATATTGTACGTAGTATGTATACCTATGTTTTCAGATTTTCCTTTGTGGAATTTTCATCAAATCAAAAAATCCGCTATCTTTCTCAAAAGCCATAATTCGAGGGAATGAATATAAAAACAAGAAGAAAGGAAGAAAAGAAAACTGGAAAGGGAAATAAAAAGAGTACTCTTGCTTGGAACGAAATCAAAGTAGAAAACTCAGGTCCAAGACAACACAAAAAACTTTCAGGAAGTGATCTCAGAACAAAACATGATGTGTCAAGGTTCAAAACTCATATCAAAAATTGATATGAGAATCGGACCGTGTTGACTTATAATTTATCATCACAGATCAGAAAGTAAAAGTAAACCCAATCGCAACAGCCCACGATTATCAACAATTTCCTGTTAATATTTTCCCAGTGTCACAAGCCAACGCCCACAAGCCAAAACCCACATGATCAAAGATCGAAAACCAACAGATCATAGGAAAGTTGATTTCCACAGATTCCCCAAAAGATTGACCTATCAAGTAAAGTTCTTCACAGAACCCACCATCGCCTAGACCAAATCCAACCTCTCTCACACTCTCACTCCTGTGGATGCCAGGTTGAACTGACAATAGAGCAAAAGCAGATATGAGTGGGAAGATTCTCAGACAGCCCCATCAAGAAACATGGCATCGGCTTCCCTAAAGTCCCTCGTGAGAGGGTATTAAGTAGGACTCGGTTTATGCTACCATGAGTTTTGGATCGTGCAATGGGTCTTCACTATGCTAACAATCTTCCCCGTACCACTAGATAGCATCAATCTTGCACCACAGATGCATCTACTTGCAAGCAAGTACAGTGGTGTTGAAGTAAAGATGTGTTTCTTGGAACATGGCAATGGATTGAAGAGGGAAGGAAAAAAGATGGAGGAGATGGGAGGGAGGAGTCCTTATATGGACGTGGAATGCTGTACCTTGATGGCCAAGCGAGACCGAATGCGAGATTAAAATTGCAAATTGAAGCTACGGCAGAGATTTTTTTTTTCTTTGTTAGGAGGCGCAGTAAGCTGATGGTGAATATCAGTAATGTCTGGCGATGAAGTTGTCGTCTCATCGTTTGTTGCCAGTCTTGCCTACTCAAAAGTCATAGCTCATATATCACATCACCTTTCGACCGCGAAGGTAATTGCGGTTGGTCGAATACTGAGGGGGGGCTATGGAGGACTTGAATATCGAATCAAGTCCGTTTAAACAGTTCAAAATCTCACAAAGGGTAAAATCATGGAAAGTGAGGGTGGTATTCCAGGGTCAAAATTCAATTTTGCGCTTGTCAGATTTCAAAACATCTACGCATATGGTTTTTTTATTCTATGGGCATTCTTGCGCTATTTATGGCGAGAAAGAAAATCGGTTGAAGGCATATGGGTATTCGAAAATTACTCAACAAGTGAATAAATGATAACTACGCATGGTTCAGTGAAAACCGTGGGAGAAAATTTGAATTTGTCCAAGAGTCTCTGAGTTGTATTCACTACCTAGGTACCAATAAATCAAACTCCTTTCGCAGCCCTGGCAATTTCCTTGATTGATATCCTTTCGCAGACGTACCTAGATACATCTTCTGGTCTACCCAAGATCACTCACAATTGTTATCACCATCACTTACCGCCGCGTACGTCTTAATGCTCTCCATTACTCAACTAATAGAATCATGGAAGTGCACAATTTTAGATGCTCCTTCCATCCATAGTCAACCTCCTAGAAATCAGAAACGAAGTATTAAGTCCTTGCTCCCTCTCGAAGTCTGGAAGGGTTTATTTGAACAAGTGTGTTTGACTTCCGTACTGACTGGTAGTGAATATGCGTCAATTTTAATGCATGATATCTAATACAATAATAAGTGTGTGGTGCAATGTATTTTCAAATACAGGAAATCTCTAATTCTTCCCTAATTCATTCAGAAGCATTCGTGAGTATTGAAGTCTTTCTCCCTAGAAATCTGACAAGTATCGAACTGAATCTGGTGAGTATAGCCCTGAATACCTATCACATTCCACTCAGTATGATCACAGGTAGGTCTTGATATGAAGTTCAACCAGGGCCGAACTTGATGCTATGAGCTTCGACAAGCTTGAAAAATTATAGTTTGTGGAGAGCTTCACTGATATTTTGACACCTAGCATGTGCTCCGCAAGCGAGCTAGTCCTCTATTTCGAGAAGTACCTACCTGGGTAGATGGTGGGAATAAGTACGATCTGGCACTCCCGAGACTTCAAAAGGAGTATGAATCTCGGCCTGAGTAGCTTAGAAAAGTTTGATATCTTTGGCAACAAGCAGAATCAGGTCGATATAGTTGTCGCTTGGGACTCGTAATCCTGAACACGGCAAACATTCGCCGAAACTGCAGTAAGTACGACATAGCCAGTAAAAAGGAGACAATTCTACACACACGGAACCACACGGTATGCCGGCAGATGCACATATGCACAAATGTGCATCATTGATACCTCGGCCCCTATGACCGACGTCCATTTAGAGTTGAAGCTAGCCTTACCCCACACTTCATAAATTTCCCATCTTGGGTATTTTTTCTAGAGATTTTGAACATCGAAATCTACAAAAGTTCTACTTTTGTAAAACAATTTATTAAAACAAATTGAGAAAATAACATCATTTCCTAGCAATTGTTATCAATTCAACTGAAAACGTGTCATACACCACACCTTCTTTTCACAATTTCAGATTCCCGGACAAAGAACCCAAATAGGAAGCTTACTCGCGAAGACCTTATCCGAAATGCCACCCCTACGCCATTCCATTTCTCAGCTATTCGCGCCGCATCCAGCGTTTGCTCTTCGAAGCTCCCAATTGCGCGAACAATCGCTTTCTACAGCTCCTTCCGTATCTCCAAATAACGACGAGATGATTCCTTCATTACAGCCAAAAAGACCAACCGTATGTTTCGTACCTTTACTAAGCTTTTCTTATCCAGCGGGCGATGAGCGAAGAATACAGCTAATCGATCATCCATCCCAATAGGTCCCAATTCCCACTACACCTTCAACTCCACCTCCCAATCCACCTACAACTTCAATGTCTCCACCTACCTACCAATCAGAATCTCCCTTCCCTACCGCGTCTCCATCCTTTCACGTTCCTGCATTCCCCACCCCAGCTCCAATTCCTCCCCGCACCCAGATTGAAGCTCTGCCACCCCACGCAACACCTTTACAAATAACAGATTCAACCTCGCCCTTCCTACACTTAACTCACAGATATGGCAAGTTCATTCTTGATTCTGCAAAACGACATCCAGTATTCTTCACAGATAGATTGAGAAAAGCACCTACCGGGGTGGAAGCAAATGAATATGCATTTGAGGATTGGAAGGCGGGGAGTCCGGTTGCGAGCGGGTATGTGTACGAAAGTGGTGAAGTTCAAGAAAGAGATGCAAAGTTGTGAGGGCCTTGTTGATTGTGGTCATTGGACATATCCAAGAAGTATTATATCAGGTTTATATATTGGAGTTCGGAT